CCGCGAGGTGGATTCGTAGCGTGGGGGGTGCGCGCGAATTTTGTGTAATTTGCAGGGGATCGTGGCCTCGGGGACGCGACTGTGGTGTAATGTACGAGGGATCGTGACCTGGGGGCGCGACAGCGGCGTAATTTACGATGGATCGTTGCCTCGGTGGCACGAATGTGGCGTAATTCACGCGGGATCGTGGCCTCGGGGGCGCAATTGTGGCGTAACTTACGAGGGATTGTAGCCTGGGGGGGTGAATGTAGAACCCACCGCCGAAGTTTCCAGAAACGGGGGGGGGGGCAAAAGAATACAAGCGGAGCACATATCCCAAAGTTACGGTGTATCTGCTTTGGTTAGGGGGGCGCGCCTTTTCGGCAGCCTCCGCAAGACGGATTCGTAGCCTGGGGGGCGCGCCCGCTGCGTAATTTACGTGGGATCCTTGCCTCAGGGGCGCGAATGCGTTGTAATTTACGAGGGATCGTGGCCTCGGGGGCGCGAATGCGGCGTAAATTCTTGACGCTTCGCGTGTCCCCACCAGCCTGCCCACTGTGGTTTGGGCTGCTGCGCCTATGTGCGTTTGCCTTGCGAATTCTGTTCATTTTGTTCAGTGCATGTGCAGGTGCGAGCTGCCTGTCTGCCGACTCCTGCTGGCGGCGAATTGTCTTGCAATTAGCCCCGTACCGTGACCCGGACGCCGCTTCCGCTCCCTGTCCGTTGCCGTGGAGCCGCCGACCAAAAAAGTGTATCCCCACCAGCCCATCCAGAATTGATTGCCAGCTTTCTTGAGGCCTTTTGGAGGCTATCTTGAGCCATGCTCGGCTAGAGGCTGTCGGAGGCTGTCTTGAGCCATGCTCGGCTATCATCTTGAGGCTGTCTTGTGGCCGTGTTGGGGCCCTCTTGAGGATCTTTTGGGGGAGTCTTGGAGCTCTCTTGGGGCTCTTTGGGGGGTCTGGGAGGCCTCTTGGGGCCGTCTTGGGCACCATGGCTCAACAAGAGGGGGGGGGGGGGGGGAAATTCGGCCCCTCTCCCCCCCCCTCGGAAGCTCTCAAACGGCATCTTGGGGCCCTCTTGGAGCGCTCTTGGGCGCCTCTTGGGCGATCTTGGGGCCGTCTTCGGCCTTCTTGGGCCCCTCTTGGGCCTCTTTTGGGCCATCTTGGGGCCATCTTGAGGCTTCCAAAGCCCATCGGAAGCGAAAAGGCGAGAATACCAAACACATTGATTTTCCATAGGCTTTTGAACGGTTTTGGCATCTTGGAGGGCGCCGTGGCGGGCTCGAAGGGCACTTGGATCCGTCTTGGGGCTGTCTTGGGGCCTCTTGGGGGTATGTCGGAGGCTATCTTGACCCATCTTGAAGTAGCATGGGCCATCTTGGAGGCCATCTTGTGACTTCGAAGCCCTCGTGGAGCAATCTTGGGCCATCTTAGACGCTCTAGCGCCTCGGTACCCCCCCCTTCCTGGCCCAGGGGAGGGGGTAGGGGGAGGGGCTTCAGTGGAAGAGAAAAGAAACAACGCGTTATACCACCTAAGCCCAGAAGGCTGGTGGGATTACGAGGGATCGTGGCCTCGAGGGCGCGAATGTGGAGTAATGTACGAGGGATCGTGGCCTCGGAGATGCAAATGTGGCGTAAATTATTTGGGATCGTGGCGTCAGGGGTGCGAATCTGTCGTAGTTACAAGGGATCGTGGCCTCGGGGGCGCGACAATGAAGTAACTTACATTGGATCGTAGCTTCGGGGGCGCGAGTGCGGCGTAAATTCTTGACGCTTCGCGTATCCCCACCAGCCCATCCAGAATTGACTGCCAGCTTTCTCGAGGCCTCTTTGGAGGCTATCTTGAGCCATGCTCGGCTAGAGGCTGTCGGAGGTTCTCTTGAGCCATGCTCGGCTATATTGGGCCATCTTGAGGCTGTCATGAGGCCTTCTTGGGGCCTTCTTGAGGATCTTTTGGGGGAGTCTTGGCGCCCACTTGGGGCTCTTTGGGGGGTCTGGGAGGCCTCTGGGGCCGTCTTGGGCACCATGGCTCAAAAAGAGGGAGGGGGGGAATTCGGCCCCCCCCCCCTCGGAGGCTCTCAAACGGCATCTTGGGGCCCTCTTGGAGCGCTCTTGGGCGCCTCTTGGGCGATCTTGGGACCGATTTCGGCCTTCTTGGGCCCCTCTTGGGCCTCTTTTGGGCCATCTTGGGGCCATCTTGAGGCTTCCAAAGCCCATCGGAAGCGAAAAGGCGATAATGCCAACCGCATTGATTTTCCATAGGCTTTTAAGATGTTTTGGCATCTTGGAGGGCGCCGTGGCGGGCTCGAAGGGCACTTGGATCCGTCTTGGGGCTGTCTTGGGGCCTCTTGGGGGTATGTCGGAGGCTATCTTGACCCATCTTGAAGTAGCATGGGCCATCTTGGAGGCCATCTTGCGACTTCGAAGCCCTCTTGGAGCAATCTTGGGCCATCTTGGACGCTCTAGAAACAACGCGTTATACCACCTAAGCCCAGAGGGCTGGTGGGATTACGAGGGATCGTGGCCTCGAGGGCGCGAATGTGGAGTAATTTACGAGGGATCGTGGCCTCGGAGATGCAAATGTGGCGTAAATTATGAGGGACACGAAACTCACGTATTTTTAAGCGTCCCACGCCCCCAGAAATTCTGAGAACCCTCCTGGGGACCCTAACCAGGGCCTTTTTCGGCTCCCCCCCCTCGCGCGGACAGTAACAATTTACAGTAGGAAGCAGAAAACAGTATTGTAACAATGGGAACTGGAAACTGGTGCAGGGAGCAGAAACCTTAATCCTCGCAGCCTGATAGCCCCGCAAGGGGGCCGGCGGATAATCAAGAACAGCACTGCAACATGAGGATGAGTTCATTGGAGGGGGGCGAGGACGGCAAGGCGGAGGGAATGAGGGATTCGTCGTGGAGAAAATATGAGGACGAGAGGAAGCAGGGGGAGCGCTCAGGGCGACGACACATCTGACGCGCACTTCTGCGCAGAACAATGAAAAAGGTGCAATAGCACTGTCGACACGAGCCCGCGAGCGTCCCTTGCGCTTGCTCTCAAGGCGTAGGGCAATCGCTCCTCGCGCGATTGTTTATAGTGCTATATATATATATATATATATATATACATGCATACATACATGCATGCATGCATGCATACATACACTGACATACTTACCTACACATACATATCCGGGTCCCCCGGCCCTGGGGCAGCACATTTTTCCAATCCCCCCCCCCCCTTGCAACAGAATTTGGCCACACGGGGTCTGGGGCCGGCAGTTAGGGTACCTGAATCCGTCCCCGAGGACGATCAGACGGCCGTCAAGGCGGTCTAAGATGGTTTGGAGGTGTCGCAGGGAACCCACGAAGCGTTTCAAACGGCCCAGGAAACCCCCAAGGTCGCTCAAGAGGCCCTAAGATGACCCCCAAGCGGGCCCCGAGAGGCAACGCAAATCGCCCCATCGTCTTTCAGAAATGAGCATGGCCCCAACAAGGCCCCAAGAGAGCCCCACGAGGGGAAACACCGATTGATCTCTCAAGACATCCGCCCCAAGATGACCCCCGAGACCGTCAACAGGGTTCCAAATGGCCACCAAGAGGCCCCAAGAGGCCCGCATGAGACCCCAAGTAGGCCCACAAGAGGCCCCCCAGGGGCCCCAAGACGCTTCAAAACCACTTCTAAGCCGCCCCCTGAGAGCCCCCTGAAAGGCATCTCAGAGTTCGCTCCCACTGCGCAATTGGCAACCTTGAGCTTATCTGAGGAATCACGGCTGCCCCAGCGCTGGTTCGCATAGTCAATTGTTTCTCTTCCATTGTGGATGCTCACCCACGCACACTTCGAGCCTTTCTGAAGCCGTATTGTACCCCTTCTATTTTAGAATTGCACGTTCTCGACACGAGGTAGGGTCAGCAGTCCAAGGAGGAGAAGTTTGACACTGAGGAGGAGGAGGAGGAGGAGGAGGAGGAGGAGGAGGAGGATGACACTGAGGAGGAAGCCCACCCAGGCACCCAGGTCCCTCGCAGGTCGTCGTGCCAGGCTATTCCGATACCCTTGAGCTAATATGGGGGGTCAAGGCTGTCCTGGCGCTAGCTCCTAGGATAAGTTCAAGACGGCCCGAGAGGTCCCCAAAGAGGGCCCAAAACGCACCAAGAGGGTCCCCAGAGGGGCCTTCCAATAGGATCCCGCGACGCCCCCTTACCCATTCGCCCCAAGACATTCCCAGAGGCTCCCAGAGATCCACAACCGGCTTCCAGTAGGGTCCCAGAAGCTTCCCAAGAGGCTCCTCGGACGTTCGTCCAAAACCTTGATCCTCCTCGATCCTCGATCCTTCCCTCCTGTTCCCTCCCTCCCACATCCCTCCCCTCTCTTCCTCCCTCCGGTTAGTTTTGGAGGACATGAATCGAGGTTCAGGCGGCCGTTCGGGACGATTCGGGCCGGGAGGAGGAGGGATGACAAGAGAAGGCCTGCGCTTGCTTCGCCTGAATCACAATCTAAGCACGCGCGAAGCGCGCGCATGGTCCCAGTACGAATTATGAGTTGTCCAAGCTCATCTGGTTCAATGTTGCAAGGATTCGCTCCGAAGAGGGAAGTCAGCCAACGGCGTCTGACAAATCGTGCATACGCTCTTCGATTCGGGTAGGGGTAGGGTTTGCATGTGGCCCCCTAATCGTGCCCGTGGCGATCTCACCCAGTCGGCTGGGATCTCACCCGTCCCTTCGGGTCTTGCCCCGCCGCCCCCTGCTCTGCTGCCGCCAGTCTCCGCGGACCCTCCGCCGACTTCCGCGGACCTGGGGGCGGCCGTCGCCGTCGCCGCCGTCGCCGTCGTCGTCGTCGTCGTCGTCGCCGTCGCCGTCGTCGTGGCCCCGATAGGTGAGCACAGCTGGCCCTCTTACGCCCCCCCCGATGGAGAAGGAGGAGGAGGAGGGGGAGGAGGAGGAGGAGGAGGAGGAGGAGGAGGAAAAAGAAGGAAAAAGGAGGAGGAGGAGGAGGGGGAGGAGGAGGAGGAGCCCCCTGCCGGCGGCCAGGCCAAAGGCCCGCCCCTGCCTGGCGCCAAGGCCGCCGCCGAGGCCGCCGCGGCCGCGGAGCCCCCGGCCGCGGAGCCGCCGGCGGAGCCGGCCACGGCGGAGGCGCGCCGCCCCCACTGGGGGGGGGGTCGGTTCACCGAGCGCGTTCTGCTACAGTGGGGGCGCGTGCCAAGAAACCAGTTTGATTTTGCCAGGGAGCCCTGGGTTTCTTGGATTTCGATGGGCTCCCAATCAGATCCTGACGATTTTCGATCGACACGTGGATTTTCACCGAACACATCGCGGATTTCAGGGTTGGTTTTCTTGCGGAGGTTTTTTGTGGCCGAGCCCCCATTGTACTCGCAGGCAGTGGCGAAGCGTCCTGGAACGTGTCGTGGTAGGCCTATACTTGGCATCGCTCGGGCGTGTGCATTTTTTTCCTTCGGCGAGGACCATCGAGGAGCATCCTTGATCGATTGGCGGAAAAGCCACGCGCGAAATCGAAGAAAAAAACACAAGGAATGGACGTCCGAGCGATGGCCGGTATAGAAATGCCGGGACGGTCGGTCCCTGCTCAATACTCGCAACAGTGCTTACTCGCAAGCGCCAGAAAGAAAAAACAAAAAACATATAGTTGCCTCAGCGTGCTGGATCGTGAATCCCCCGCGGCGGATCCAGGCCATTTGCGAGCAGCTGTTTTCCGAGTAGTGGAGCGCGCTTGTCTATCGGTAGCAGATCACGGGAGTTTTATGAGAACTTGCATGTAAGTCTTTCGGGTGCATCAGCGTGCTCTGGCGTTTGGTACTCGATGGGAAGGCACCGATTTTGTGTGGATTGGCCTCGAGTCGCAAGAGCCAGCAAGGTGGCATGGGAGGCTCCCATGAGGTGCCGCCGACGGAGGAGTAGCGTCGGGGGCCGCCGTTGTTCGGTCCGCCCCCTGTCTGGTCGCACTTCTCGACCCCGCTTGCGCGCATTTCTGGAGCACACCTGCGAGGGTCAGTTCGTGCTGTCGCTGGTGTTCTTTCTCGTCGCCCTCCCTGTCTGTGATACAGACGTTCACCTCAATCAGGAGAGGAAAAAGCACACAGACACAATGAATCGTCGACTCCCAGGAAATGTGGGACAATATGGGAAGTGGGCGGGAAGACAAACAAAAACAGAAAACATGGGAACAGATGGGGACTATCTTTATTTGTGTTTTTATGTGTGTGTCCTGGGGCCCCTTCAAGCAACGCCGTCGACAGGCCGAGAGCCGACCCAGACCCCGACGAATCACAAGAGGCCTTTCCGGTCGGGGCCTGCCTGCTCGTCGTCGGCCCTTCCCAATCGACGACTCGGTGCCTGCGAGCGCTGGGCATCGATTACGAAGGCCTTGCGGCCGTTGCCGCCGACCAAGAAGGGAGACGACGACGACGACGACGACGACGACGACGACGACGACGACGACGACGGCAACGGCAACGGCAACGGCGGCGGCAACGGCGGCGGCGACGACGGCGCCGCTGACGTGGGCCAGAGTCCTCAGGGATGCTTCTTGGGGTCGGGAGCCTCTTGGGAGTTTCTTGGGGGCCTCTTCGGGCCTGGGGACCTCCTCCTGGCATCGCTCGGACGCGTGCATGTTTTTCTCGGCGAGGACCATCGAGGACCATCCTCGATCATTTGGGGGGGAAAAAAACAAAAAAAAAAAAAAAAAAAAAAAAAAAAAAAAAAAAAAAAAAAAAAAAAAAAAAAAAAACGCACGAAACCGAGAAAAGCACAGGGAATGGACGTCCGAGCGATGGCGAGGGTGGACCTCCCGCTGGGCCCTTGCGGGCCTCTTTGGGGAGCCTCCTGCGGGGCGCTGCTGCGGGCCTCCGGGCCGTCCTCGCCAGCGGCGCCGCGCCGGGGCAGTGTCTCTCCCCGCCGGGGAGGCGCGCCCGCTGCCGTCGCGTCGAGGGGCCCGGTCCGGGGGCGAGAGCGGGCCCGGATGAGAAGGTCGCTCCGGAGGACATGCAGCGGGCTTGGCATGGCTCGGACGCGTGCATGTCTTTCCCTCGGCGAGGACCATCGAGGAGCATCCTTGATCACTATTGGCGAAACAGTTGGCCACAAGGCCGAAAAAGGCACAGGGAGTGGACGTCCGAGCGACGGCCCGGACGAGAGTTTCGCTCCAGAGGACATGCAGCGGGGACCCACGCCAAGAGGAGGAACACACCTGTAGGAGGACATGCCCGACCTAAGCCTACTCGCAAACGTCCGATAAGACGCGTGCTCCTCCTGATGTACAATGGCTCGCAGATCACCCGCAGCGGATCCAGGCCACCTGCGAGCCGCAGCTACTCTGCGGATAGTGGAGCGCGCTCTTCGAGAAGGGATCACACAGGGGCGCCCCCGAGGGCGCGAAGTTCTTCGCGCTTCGCGGTTCGGCTCCGATTCCTCCTCATCCTCTTCTCCCATGGGGGGCGGCGCGAGAGCGCGAAGTTGTTCGCACTTCGCGCTTCGTGCAGCGCGAATCAGGAGGGAAAGAAACACACAGACACAATCAATCGTCGACTCCCCAGAAAAGATGGGAAAACATGGGAACTGGGGGGGAAGACAAAGACCCAGAAAATATGGGAAACTATGGGGAATCGTTTTATGTGTGTGTGTATTTGTTTGTGTGTCCCAGGGCCCCTCCAGCCTCTCCAGGGGCTCCCACGAGGGCGCGAAGTTCGTCGCGCTTCGCGCCTCGCGGGCCTCGCTCCTCCTCCTCCTCCTCCTCCTCCTCCTCCTCCTCCTCCTCCTCCTCCTCCTCCTCCTCCCCCTCCTCCCCCTCCCCCTCCTCCTCTCGTCCCCCTTGGGGGCGGCGCGAGGGCGCGAAGCTGTTCGCGCAGCGCGAAGCGCGAAGCTAGGGGCCCTTGCTCTCTCCCGTGCTCGGTCGGTGCGGCGCGCATGGGCCCCGCACCCCATGGGGCATGTCTCCGCTGGGGCCACGGAGAGGGAGAAGGGGAGAGAGAAAGGAGAGAGAGAGAGGGAGAGATCCGTAGAGAGGAGGAGAGGGGGAGAGAGAGAGAGAGAGGGAGAGAGAGGGAGAGAGGGGGAGAGAGAGGGAGAGAGGGGGAGAGAGAGAGAGGGAGAGAGAGGGAGAGAGAGTGAGAGAGACAGAGACAGAGAGAGAGAGAGCGAGAGAGACAGAGAGACATACAGAGAAAGCGAGAGAAAGAGAGAGCGAGAGAGAGAACAAACAATAAGATAGAGATAGCGCCCCCGCAGACACCCGCGGCAGCACCGGCGAAGGGGCCCGGCAAGGGCAAGAAGGGCCCCCCGCTGCCTGGGGCAAAGGCGCGCGCCCCCCGCCGCCCCTCGGCGACGCAACAAGTGTGATCAAGCTCGGGAACCTTGAGACGGGTGCAATGCAAACGGGGGTCAGCCATGTCGCCGGATCTTGCAGGATCCTGCAGAGCCAGCGTTGCGTTGACCCGGGCTTGCGTTCAGGATCTTGCAGGATATTACGAAGCCTGACTGACCCGGGTTTGCAGTGACCCAGGTCAGTAGATCCCGGGCAAGCGTGGTAACTTATGATACTTGGCATCGCTCGGACGTGTGCGTTTTCTCCTCGGCGAGGACCATCGATCGGAGCACTCTTGATCCCTTGGCGAGAAAAAAACACGCACGAAACCGACAACAAAAAACACAGGGAATGGACGTCCGAGCGATGGCCAGGATCATGTGCGGCGCCTCCACCGCTCACAGCCGTCCCCCCCCGGCACCTTTCAGGAGAGGCCGACGCCCATTCCTTTGAGTAGGAAAAGGTGCCCACACCGCTGCCCTTCGCCCGTTCTTCCAGCTCTCGCACTCCTGGGGGGGGGCCCTCGTCGCCACCGTTGGGGTCGCCTCGAAAGTCGAGTCAGAACGTGCACCTCGGGAGAGGTCTGGGGAGCAGCGGCGCTATCGGTACTTCTTGGTTTCCCCAATCTTTTTCTTCGCTGTCCCTCCTTCAGCCCCACCTCCCGCTCTCTCTGCTTCAATTTCTGCGAATCAGTTGAGGTAGGCAGAGTGGGCCAGATGGCACACTGAACAGTTTCCAACAAGGCCTCGTGCAAACCTTTCTGTATCACAGCAACAGTAAAATCATCCTTGCACCACCTGCCTCATATGTCAGCATTGACTCAGACAACATGTTTACTTGCTCGGTATGCTTCTTTTTATTGTACCACATGTCTGCGCTCTTAGTCTGCAGCTGCGCGGGTGAACTCACCTTGTTTTCATGCGAACTCTTCATTCTGCGAGAGACGTGGTGAGTGGAGGGGGAAGAGGAGCAGGACAAGCAGGACTTTTTTCACGACCCATCACAATGATTTGACCATCCTGCTCATCATCCCATTGAAATAGCACCTCTTTTTCTGTCGGGGCGGCGAGCGAGGGGGGAGGTAAGAAGGAAAGGGTCTTCCGAGATGGCGGCGGGACTTCTCAGAGGCCCCCCGCCTTCCGAGCTGTTGTCTCTGTCTTCGGGGAAGGCGCAGGACATGTTTCAGAAGGCTGTGGGACTCACGAGCCGTCTGAGAAGGCCCGCCCCTTCTTACTTCCCCCCTGGTTCGCCGCCTATGCTACCTGTGTTTTTTTTTCGGATCATGCACCAGCGTTGCGACCAGTGTGGCAGTACCCATGAGACCAACATGTGGCGTATTCTCCTCACGCCTTCATCCCCCCCTCCCTCCTCCATTTCCCTCCCCCCCTCCTCCTGAAGCATCCATCCCAGCGACACAGATCTCTGCTTGCCAGTGGCCGATCCAGTGGGACGCGAGTGACAATATCGTCCACTTGTTAGGCTGCTGTATTCCCTGAGACTCACGCGGCACATGGCAGCAGCGTGCTATGACGGCGATTGCAAAAAACGATAGCGGAGGGGGGGGAGGAGGGATGGCGACGTGGATGGGAGGAATGAGAGGGGAGCATGTGTGTCTGCGGTTCGGGCGATACGGTTGCGTCACAGTCGGTCGCATCCGGTCGGTTCGGCTTTCGTACCGTTGCCGTACCGCTGCGTCCTTCTTGGCCATTCCAGAAGATTCGGCTTGGTCGGTGTCGCTTTCGCTGTCGGTTCAGTCGGTCATCGGTCGTGCCGTCGCCGTGGACGGCCCTCAGATGAGAGAAGGAAGGGACGGGAGGGGGGAAGATGGGGGAAGGGAGGGACGGGAGGATGGCACAGCCCACATCCAGGATCCTCTGCCTCTGCTGGAGGCAGCCCCCCTGGTGTTGGTGCTGGTGCTCCATCCGACGCCTCCAGCTCGCGCTCCTGCCCCGCGCCCCTGCGACACTCAGGAGGAAAAGAAACACACAGACACAATGAATCCTCGATTCCCCTGAAAATATACGCAAATATGGGAAGTGGGGGGGAAGACAGAAACCCAAAACATATTGGAGAATATAAGGAATACTTTTATTTGTGTGTATTTATTTGTGTGTTCTGGAGCCTCTTCAGACACGCCTGCGCCCCCAACGACTGGGAAGGCGAGGCGGTGGGCGCCCCACCGCCGCCCCCCCCCCAGGCCGCCGCCGCGGCCGCGGAGCCCGCGGCCGCCCCGGCCGCCCCCAGCGGCAAGGCGGGCGGGCCCGGGGGTCGACCCGTCTGGGGCGGTCCCCGCCGACGCGCGCGACGCGAGCTCGTAGGCGCGAAGAGGCCGCCACACCGCGGCAGCTCCAGCCGACGCCCCAGGTGGCCAGGCTTCCCTCCCCTCCTCCTCCTCCTTCCTCCTCCTCCTCCTCCTCTCCTCCTCCTCCTCCTCCCTCCTCCTCCTCCTCCTCCTCCTCCTCCTCCTCTCCTCCTCCTCCTCCTCTCCTCCTCCTCCTCCTCCTCCTCCCCTCCTCCTCCTCCTCTCCTCCGCCTCCTCCTCCTCCTCCTCCTCCTCCTCCTCCCCTCCTCCTCTCCTCTCCTCCTCCTCCCTCCTCCTCCTCCTCCTCTCCTCCTCCGCCTCCTCCTCCTCTCCCTCCTCCTCCTCCTCCTCCCCTCCCTCCTCCTCCTCCTCCTCCTCCTCCTCCTCCCTCCTCCTCCTCCTCCTCTCCTCCTCCTCCTCCTCCTCCTCCTCCTCCTCCTCCTTCTCCTCCTCCTCCTCCTCCTCCTCCTCCTCCCACTCCTCCTCCTCCTCCGCACGCCAGGTCGGCCCCCCTCCAGAAGTCGCGGGCGCGACCGGGCCCAGGCCGGCACACCGCTTGCGCACGCCGCGTTGGCGAGCGCGTCCGCAGAGCTGCCACGTCCTGCTCGTTTTTCCCGCCCTGGTCTTGTTGCTGGTCCCTGCCCTGCGTGTCGCCTGCCTGGCGGCACTCACAGCTGCAAATGATTGGGCCCTCCGCCTGCCTGATGTTTCTCCCTCCTCCTCCTCCTCCTCCTCCTCCTCCTCCTCGTCCTCCTCCTCGTCCTCCTCCTCCTCCTCGTAATTATGCCGAGAACCGCGCCAACCACGCATGGCCCACAAGGAAGACTTCTACTCCGCATTCCACAACCAGAGGGGGGTGGTCTAATTTTCTGCTAGATCTGATTGGAGCCGTCTTGGAGGGTACCAGTGTGGTCTGGGCAAAAGGCCGCCTTTCGTGGCTGGTCTGGGGGGGTCTAAAATAGCTCGTCTGGGAGGGTTGTGACCCCATCCCTTTTATTCTCAACCCTCCCGTGTTCAGATCTCGTTTTGGATAGCGAGATGTGTTCTCCAACCTCGCTCCGTCCCTCCCTCCTGCCTCCTGCCTCCTACTTCCTGCCTCATTCTCTCTTCCTCCCTTCTCTCCTTCGTCCTGCTTGCGCCGCTTGGCCACTTTCGTGCGGGGCTATCCCTGTGGCTTCTTTCGTGGGCTCCTGGGAGGTCCAGCGGAGTCAGTGGTGACGCACACCACGTCGAGACCTCGCGGTTCCGTGCGTGGCGGCAATTTGCGATTTTTTTTCGTGGGCTCCTGGGAGCTCCAGCGGAGTGGAGTGGTACGCAGACCCAGTTGGGACCTCGCGGCTCCCTGCAAGGATGCGAATTGCGCAGTTGTCGCCACATGCGTAAGCTCCTGGGAGGTCCAGCGGAGTGGAGTGGTACGCAGACGCCGTTGGAAATTCGCGGCGTCCTGCGTGGCTGCGAAGTGTGCAATTGTCGCCACTTTCATGGGCTCCCGAGAGGTCTAGCGGAGTGGGGTTGTACGCAGACCCAGTTGGGACCTCGCGGCTCCCTGCGTGATTGCGCAGTGCGCAATTGTCGCCATGTTCGTGGGCTCCTGGGAGGTCACGCGGAGTGAAGTGGTATGCAGACCCAGTTGGGACCTCGCGGCTCCTTCCCTGGGGGGCTGCGCATTGGCAACCGTCGCCATTTTCGTGGGCTCTTGGGGGATCTCGCGGAGTGGAGTTGCACTGGGATCCAGTTGGGACCTCGCGGGTCCTCGGGGGATGCGAAGTGCGCACTTGTCGTCATTTTCGTGGGCTCTTGGGACATCCAGCGGAGTTGTACGGGGATCCAGTTGGGACTTCGCGGCTCCTTGGAGGGCTGCGAATTGTGCAGCTGTCGTCCAATTCGTGAGTTCCTGAGAGGCCGCGACGAGAATGGCAACTGAAGACAAGCACTCACATTCCAAATGGCAGGCGTTCCCATAGCGCGCGGCGCTGTCCCGTCACGCATTGCTCGGTACTGTCGCATCGCATCTCGCAGGGAGCCGCTGCGCCACGCAGCGCATGGCGTTGTTTTTTGTCCGCGTGGCCTCCCATCCACAGCTGTATTTGGCCCGCCATTCCACCACGCCCGCTTGCGTCGTTCAGCGCGACGCTTTCGTTGCTTTGCTATAGAGCGATCGCATGGCGCTGTTAAAGAACATGTACGTCACACCTTCACACCCGTACGTGGGCCTCGGTGTCCGTCGCTATCCTGCCTATTTCTGCATGGTGGCTTGCGTCCTCCTGAGAGCTCATTAGCAATGCGGGTCCTTCAACATGTTCGTTTGACGTGTGCGGTCCTAAATATACGCACGTATGTGCATATACATATGTATATATATATACACATATGTACACACATATACACATACATTTGTATACATAGTTATGTATTCGCCAACTGTTTAGGAAGGGTCGGGTACGTCTCCGGGTCATTTCGAGATCAGGAGTGCCCCAAATCTGGCACGAGACAGTCTGAAATTGATGGCTGCTGTTGTCGTCCTGGCCGGCGGCCCGCCCGCGACCCTCTCGCGACACAGCCGCGACCCGCGCCGCAGCCATGCTGTTGGGCGGAGACTCATGCAGCTGCGAGCGACGTGGGGCAAGCGAGGCGGATGAGAGGGGCGTTCAAACACGATGGGGACGCGGAGAAGAACGGCAGGGGCGAACGAGGGCATGGGGAAACGGGACGGAGGAATAATCGGGTGTTCGT